CATTGTGTGCTCAGCAAGAATGGACGTTTTTACAATTAGAAAAATGTATTTTAAAGTTAAATTAATCCTGTTAAAATTTTCAGCTAGTATTTACTTCACACTTTAGAAATGGTTGACCCACATCATCAATAAATAAATGCTTAAATGCTTATTTTTGATGTTCTTTGATAATAATACTGTTTAAATTAATAGCATTTATTTGAAATTTCAGTAATAATGTATTATTTACTATCAATTTAAAGGTGCAATAGAATGCGTTGATCCATTAAGTCTAAATTGTTCTCGTATGTTTAGAATGAAAATGAATCTAGAATGAACAGTTCAGTTTTTACAGTTTTTATAGAATTCACATTTCCCAAATTTAGCGTTTTGGTGAGCTGTAAACAGATAAGATGCTGTTGCATTGACTTGCCCTAAAGCTAATGCCTGTTCTATTTTCAAAATAAGAGTACCACATACAAATAATAAGCTGTATTGAACTTAGAAAATAAGGAAATGTATGTATATGTGTTGTCATTTTACTAAAAAATATTGTGGCACTGTATTTAAGTTTATTAACAATGAAAACAAACAACGGAAGTGGCAAAGGAGAGCAGTAAAGAAAGCTAATCACGGTGATTAGCTGAATCATAGCTGCTCAATTCACTAGCATCACATCGACAGATGAGGGAAATAAAAATACTGTGTTACAATTGGTTGATTATTAAAAATGTTTAAAACTATAGACTACAGTACATACAATTGTGAAGCCTTTTTTCCTCCACTGTACAAAATAATTAAAATATAACTGATTTACCTAACTATTATGACATTTTTTTTAATTGTGAGTTTTTATCTCATAATTCTAATGTTTATCCTTCATTTTATATCCCAGGCTTTTTATATCTCACAGTTTTGATGAAAGTCAAAAGTAGAAAATTCAGAATTGTGGCTTTCTATTTCTCAGAGTATTTTTCCTGTAATTCTGATTTTGTTTAGAAATTATGCAAATATATCTTATAATCCAGTCTTAACTACCAAGTGCGAGTTTATGTGCGAAAAAAAAAAATAGTAAAATTAGAACTTGAGATGACCTTATTTAAATTATTAAGTGGTGAAAATGACCTATCACAGCACTGTACACTATAGTACAAATGAATCGTTTTAAATTGAAGAGTGCATATGCAAAAACCTCTAAATGCTGTCTGAAAGTTTCATTAAAAATGTACATTTTTATCAGGTTCCTATGCGTAGGTTCAGTTATTTCTTTTTTCAATAGGATACATTCTTTTTATGGACTTTAAAATGAAATAACTCGACATAAACATAAGAGTCTGAGAAAAATGCTAATTTTCCTTGAAAATTTTAGAAAACGTCTGAACTTTTCAATTATACATTGCCGTTACTTTACATTTTACATTCCTTACCATTTCCTCACACTCATGTGGGTCTAAACTTTTATGAATTTCTTCTGTTGAACACAAAATGTGATGTTCTGTATGCCCATATAATATATGAAAGTCGAAGGCTAGTTTTTATTCCATCATTATTCAGTATGTCCTCCTTTGTGTCTAACAGAAGAAAGAAACCCAAACCGGTTTGGAACAAGTGGAAGATGAATAAATAATGACGGAACATTCATTTTTGGTTGAACTATCCTTTAAAGAATTCATTTCAAGTGTTTGCGTATATATAAACACTGTATTTGCTTTGTGTTTTTTTCCGTCTGGCGTCCAAAACGTTTTGGGGTCACTGTATCACTTTAGTGGTTCAGAATAACATCACATCTGACACCATTGTTTATTTGTGCCTTGAAATGAGCACTCATGAGCTTTTGCCCTCATTTCTGAAGGCAGCCATATCAAGTTACTGCCTTGCGCCTTTGTGAACACGATTCTGGTGTTTATTAAAATGTTTCATTTAAAGGGATAAATTGCTCAAAATTTAAAATATGGTAAATTTTTGGAAAATTTGGTAAATTTGGAAACCTAAGCACACAGACAAAACAAACACTGGGAGAACATGCAAAACTCTCACAGAAATGCCAACTAACCCAGCTGGGACTCGAACCATCGACCTTCTTGCTATTTTTTTTTTAAATTGTTTTAATTGTTTTAAAACAATTTTTTAATTTTTTTTAATTTTTTAAATTGTTTTAATGGTAACTTCCACGTTTTTTTTTTTTTTTTTACCTAAAATATTGGTTAAATAACAGTCAAATGTCATTCAGTGTAACATATTTATGTAAAAAAAATGTTTTTTAATTATATTTAAAAATGATCGTTTTTACTGACCTTTAAATTATTAAAAACGTCTTGCTGAAAAATGATGGATATTGATAAAGTAAAAAGTTTTGTTGAGACTTTTATTATTTCATCAAAGGATTCTTGTTCTAAATATGCTTGAGAAGAGCTCTGGAATGACATTTTAGTCTGTAAGTCATTACACAAAGCATGAGTCAGAAAAAAAGGCAAAATATAAAATCATAGATTACAGATAACAGTAGATAACAAAATATATTCATATATTCTATGTTACATCATAGGCTAAACAAATGTCACAGCTTGTTGCTTCTTGTCCAAAACAAATCCCAACATGTTCGTGCATGTCTATGTACCCATGCATGACTGTGTTTCTCGTCCTTTTGAAACAAAAACCAACACCTCATCCTAATATTTCAAACCACGGTCTGACAAGTTTCATCCATGACACTGTTTGCAATGGACCAAGACGTTACACACCGTTTTACCAGTGTTTTGCTTCCTTAGTCTTTTAACTAGGCAGGTTTATTTATATCCTCTTTCCTAATGTGAGGGAATAAGTGGAGTGTTATTCCCTGTAGTTCTGCTTCAGATTCATGACAGTATAGTTGCTCCCCTGATGCCTTTCTCAATAGTGTGAGCCAAAAATAAAAGAGGAAACTTGACCTATGTTTCTCTCTGGCACACTGTAATATATCTCTTTTGCTTAAAGGGACAGTTCACTTAAATTATATGATCAAGTCTAAACGATTTGTATGTACAGTCGAAGTCAGAATGATTAGCCCTTCTGTGAATTTTCTTTCCTTTTAAATATTTCCCAAATGATGTTTAACAGAGCAAGGACATGTTCACAGTAAGTCTGATAATATTTTTTCTTCTGGTGAAAGTCTTATTTCGGATAAAATAAAGCAGCTTGTAATTAAAAAAAAAATAAAAAATTTAAGGTCAATATTATTACCCCTTATATATGTTTTAGATAGTCTACAAAACAAACCATCATTACATGATTTGCCTTATTACCCTAACTTGTCTAGATAATCTAATTACTTAAGCCTTTAAATGTCACTTTAAGCTCAATACTACTATCCTAAATTAGTATTGAAAATATTACGTATACTGTCATCATGGCAAGGATAAAATAAATCAGTTATTTTATTTCTATATTTAGAAATGTTCTGAAAAAATCTAAAATCCAACAGAAATTGGAGATTTAAAAAAATTGTCTTTGAGTCTTAATTGTCATTAATTATTGAATGTGGGGGGAAAATAATACTACTGTTTTAAACATGGTATTACTGTGTTCATCCCTTTTTAATAAAAATCTGAAATTGAAAAACCATATTAATATCAAATATGATAATATATCAAATGTTTAACTGATGATAATTGATTGTTGTGTTTGTATTTTTACCAGTACCAGAATTTAATTAAACACGATGGCTAAACACTTGAAAGTTTTTGTGCTAGAATAGAAAACTTCATAGAAATTTTTACTAAAAGTATTTTTGGCACTTAATTTTACATGAATTAAATATGACATGAATATGAAACTTGTAATGTTTATTTCATATTTTTTGTTTAAAAATGGTAAAATATTGGTAACAACAATAAGGTGTATGTTAGTTCATATATTTGCTAACAAATATATGTTTTAAATGCTGTACAAGTATTTTTTATTAGTTCATGTTAATCAATACATTAAATTGTTAACTGCCATTAACTAATAGAACTTTATTTTAAATTGTGACCCATTTTTTATAGATCTCATATAGAACATTTTAGGGAAAATAAATATGTACTTTAATAATCTTAAAACATTTACAAAAGCTTCATTTAGTTACAGTTTAACAGTTTTTTTTTTGACTGTTAAAAATTCATATGGCATTATTGGACTGTAATAAAACAATTACTAGTGTTTTTTTTTGTTTGTTTTTAGTATTTTAGATCGACATAAGCTGTTAATAAAAAGTAAAACTAAATTTCTAATTTTTGCTTTCTCTTTTTTTGCTGAATAAATGTATCAGTTTCTGTGAAATTCTGATAGTCAATAGGAAGTGACACAAAGAAGGCTCGAGAACACACTGGCAAGAGGAGAATTCACCCATCACCCCAACTGTTCAAAGCTGAAGTTGCCAGTTCAGACCTTCTCTCACACTCTTTCAATCGATGAACCAGTAAAGTCTATTAGAACTAGATGCAGATGTAGCATAGAATGATTCACAGCTATAAAACCGTGACCGTGTCAACAAGTCTGTTGCAATCATTTTAACATCACTTCCTAGTAGCACATCTCGTTGATGTTTACAAAAATAAATGACATGGATATGGCATTATGAAAGGAAATAGGATTCGATCTCCAGGGGCAGCATGGGTGGGTTAACAAAACAGCCTTTGTGCGATACCTTTAGTGTCACTGGAAAACAGAGGCCATTGTGCTTTAGAAAGGATCCTTATGGTTCATGTCCTGGAACTGCAATGGATCCATTTCCTCAGATTAAGAGTCAGCGCACATTCAGACCACAATACAGCTACACTCACAGTTTCACCACTGACCACTTAGTCTCATGATGTGATTTAGAAACACACTTTAAGTCAAAATAATCGCTAAAATAGTAGCTAATGCAGTATATTTTGGAGTATACAACTTTAAAAAAAGAGGTAAAAGACATGAAGATGGGTTTTGTGCTTTTTTTAATCTCATGGAAATACATGCCTCCATCCCTGAAAATAGAGTTTTACAATTAACAAGGAGACAGAAAATGTTTTTTAGAGAGCACAGGTCTCACTTTTTTATATAATGTTTTTAGGCACTTGGAATTACAACAGCAAACATTCCTTTTTTAACGACGAAAATAAAATATCTTTGGTCCTTAAAAAAAAAAAAAACAAGAAAAATAGAGGTTGATTGAAACCACAGTCTGAAAAAAAACATATATAGCTTCACAACACAGAACGCAGCTTTCTCTCCCCGCTTACATAACCTGCAACAGTTTAAGTGAATCTATCATGACTTGAGAGAGAGAAAAAAAAACAAAGTGTATTTTTTTTCCTGCTACATGTGAAAAAGATCTTCGCTCACTCTGCAGAACAGAATACGTAAGAATAGGCTCAAATCAGACATACAGCAGTGAACAGTCATTCTAATATATGTCACATTTAGCACAAGAACAATAGAGTGCTACAGTCGAGGCATCAAAACCCGGAAGACAAATTAAATCCATAAATCAGTTTTCTTTTATATATTTGTGGGGTATTTTAATTAATAGGTAAACACCTCAACAAAACTTGAACTATGTAAACTGCACACATATTATCAAAAATAATTTAATTCAAATGACTTATATTTTTGGTAGGGATGCTCTGATCAAGATTTTCACAGCCGATATCGAGTACCGATTACTTGTCATGAGCCGATACTGAATACCGAATCTAATGCTTTATAATGCATTGAGCACATTTTCCCTCTAAGCATGAAGCTTAAGAGTAGATCTCGCCGTACCTAAGAAAATAAATGAAGGATGCTGCATATAAAACCTTAAACATGTCTTTTGTTACCATTTAGGTGTGAACATGTCAAGGCCAGAAGCAGTTTTAGACTGTATAAATTCCTACATGCACAGCACAATTCACATTTACAAAATCCAATTTGTACATCTGTAAACACAATTTATGAATTCACAAAAAAAAATCATAAAAATTTTCGCCAAATGAATTAGATTTGTGTTTATGAATGGTGTTTTGAACTTACGAATTGGATTTGTGTATTTTTAAATCATGTTTTGAATTTACTAATTGTTTTTATGCATTTCTGAATCTTGCTTTGAATTTACGAATTAAATTTGCATTTTTTAAAATCATTTTTTTATATTTACAATTTTGATTTGTGTTTTTTTATCTTTTTTTTAATTTACGAATTGGATTTGTGTAATTTTGAATTTACGAATTGGATTTGTGAATTTTGGAATCATGTTTTAAATTTATAAATTAAATCTGCATTTTGTTTCTTTTTTATTTTTACAAATTTGATTTTTGTATTTTTTTAAATTTACAATTGGATTTGTGTAATTTTTAAATGTCTTTTGAATTTTCAAATTTGATTTGTCTATTTTTGAATCATGTTTTAAATTAATAAATTAAATTTGTGTATTTTTGAATCTTGTTCTGTATTCATGAATTGGATTTTGTAAATGTGAATTGTGTTGTATGATCTTTATTTTGTAAATATATTATTGTTGAGACTGATCTGGCCCCATATATAAACAGCCAATAGACTGTATAAACGGGTCGCACCACATCTGTATTTTAGCTGCTGTGACGCGAGCACATCGATCGCCACATTCATCGTTTACCTTCTCATTGTGTTGTGTCTGCTGTAGGCCATGTATAATATACGGGTGTGCACGTGCGTCTTCCTCTGATTGTAAACTCATAAACCAACACCTGCGATCGTTTCATGAGATCTCCCAGATTGGGGAGTACCGATTGAATCTTAGGCCGATCGATCGGAGCATCTCTAATGTTTGGCTGTGACATTGTCATACAAAGCATTTAAAGAATGAGAAGGTAACCAGTGGTGAGAATAAGTCTTCCCAATTTTGACGCTGTCCCAAGAATGCTCTATTGACATTGTTTAAAAAAATAAAAGCTCCTCCAGAAAATCCCTTTTTTTGAGTTTGGAAAAAACGTTTTATATTCACTTGCTTGCATATCATCTCCAGCACATGGGGATGTACGAGAACGGATGTCGACTGTGTCAGTTACAGGGCAGCCATGTCGGATAGGAACTACTGCAAGTGTGAACCAGCGGCTGCACGTGAGCAATGTAGTAGTTACTGAAGTTGATGTCTCGCACGTACGGTGCCGGCTGGTAATAACATGTGACGTTGGTAACTGTAGGGATGGCGTTCTGTTCGGCGAGCACCCTTAGCGCCAGCATTGAGATAAGGTTTAAAGTCTGCCGTCGCTCGTGTCCCATTAAGCATACAGTACTCTCATTGACCACGTGGTACAACGTGACCAAACAGTCATACCGTTTGTGCTCCATTCCGGCAAAGTGATTCTGTAGGTACGCCTCCAGTTTTCGCTGCTGCTCCCCGATGTCTGGAAAGTCAATGAAGAACCGAGAGCACATGTACCGCTGGAGCGATTTCATCTCCGATTCGGAAGTGGGACGGAATCCTCGCACTAAAAGGTGGCAGTATTTTAAGAGGCCGCCTCCGCGAATTTCTTCAGGGTTTCGTGTAGCGATGGCCTTGTTGCACAGATGGCCAAGAGCTTCCTCGAAGTTCCCATACATACTCTCGCCCAAAACTGTAGGGTGGAAACACTCCGACATGGGCGTCTCCGAACAACGGTCGAACAGAAGAAGAGAGTCCAAAACAATCTGGAAGGAGTCCACGCTGAACTCAAACTGCCGTCTTAGAGAGTCCACGAACTTGAGCTCGACGTTCTTGCCTGTGTTATTGGAAAGCGAGATGAGGCTCCAGCGGTCGGTGTCGTTGCACACCTTCACCAGTTTCTGCACGTAAGCCTCTTTCAGAGTCAGTGCTGAGATTCGCTCTTTGCTGACGCCTTCAGGTAGGAAGTCCAGCAGGCTGTCGAGAACCACGTCCTTCACCACACGGAAAGCCTGGTCATCTGACAGAGAAACACCAAAAATCAGGTCCAAGTCTTTGTATCCGAGGCCCGTGTCCTGGTGCAGAACGTGACTGGCAGCTGAACCGTTCAGCCTAACATCTCGAACCGTGATTCCTCGCTCTTCCAAACGTGCTCGAACCACCTGGAGGAACAGTGATATAGATTAGAGATGTGCCGATACTGAATGTTTTACACTGTTTTTTACATTTAAAGTTAATTTAACAATAACTTCAAGTAAATGTTTTAAACTGCGCTAACATTTCTGATGTATCCTCTGACAATCTGAAACTGAATTCCATTTTACATATAATGTTGTCATGCCTAAATTAATTTAATTTAATTCACAAAAAATCTTGTGTTGACAATTCTGCATCAGATTGCTGTTAATAGCGATATAAGAACAAGCATTAGCAGAACATTAGTTTATTTTTCACTTTTGTGGTCTATGAAGAAAAAAAAATCATATGGCATTTAGAGCAACACTAGTGTAAGTAAATAATGACAGCATTTTCTTTTTTTGGTGAGCTATCCCATTAAACACAAAGCACCGCCTTGGTTGAGCATTTTGAGGTTACTTTGTTCTGCCACCGCTGCTATTAGATAATTACCTTGTTAGCTAAAAAGCCTAATAAGACGTAATTGCTAGGCTTCAGTGTTGCGTAGCACATCAGCTCTTTGTGGATTACAGAAATTGCACAGATTTATACATTTATGCCTCGTCCCAATGAGAGTCACAGTTAGTCTACAGTGAGTAATCGACAAAACATCAGTTCACTTCAGATTTTGTCTCTTTGTTAGTGTGACTTCAAGCTGATGTGATGTGGAATACTGACAGCATATGATATGACATATCAGCATAATAGAGTACAGCCCATTTTGAAAATGAACATTTGGTCCATTTCTCTGTGAATATAGTTAATGTATTTTGGTGCATTTCAACAAAACAGATTTATTAAACAGATATATTTTTTCAAATTATATTTTAGTCACCAAACATATTGAGAAATTGAAAGATAAAACAATTAAATTCAAGAAAAATGTTGCAGAAAAAATACAAACTACAAATTAAAACTACATTTTCAATTTTTATTTTGTTAGATGAGCTTCAGATTTGGCTCCAGTACTGACTACTCTAATGTATATGCACAATATATTGTTGAATAGCTTCCTTTTAAAAATATGAATTTAAAAGAGAGATTCGTGAGGGGTTTACTTCTATATGCTCAGCACTGTGTACACACAATAAAATCTGATTTACTCAACAGTCTTTAGCACTGAATTAATTTATTAGCAAAATAAAAGTTATTATATTGGCCATATATGCAATATATATTATCCATGTGCATTGGCCAAATGTGAAGTCTGCACCAAATTCAATTTACAAATGTGATCTTATATAAAATATTAAATAAAATTTAATTAGTGTAACATATTTATGTAAAAATTTATGAACATAGTTGGTTTAAGAATAAGTGATCCTATAAATGTATGTATTATATTTTTCATTATTAAAAACAATCAAAATCTAGTGCTTTAAAGGATAGCAGTAAAGTATAAAATGATTTAAAATGACAACATTATAGTTGTAGGACGAACAAGATTGTTTACTATATATCTACTGTTACATTAAATGAGATGAAGAACACCTTCTATTACATAACAAATAAATACATTTAGAGCTGTATTATGTTTTTTAAGTTGATGTGTGAACCCCATTTTTAATTTCTGACCGATTTACACTTCATTTAGTACTATACATTACTTTTTAAACTATTAATCATTTCCAACATGTTCCTATAGGGTATATGCAGAAGGACTTTTAATTTTTGCGTAACCTGGGTCAAAAGCTTTCGATGAACTGCATGCTGTTACAAAATCGGCATGTTTGAGGTCTATTTTCTTTAAAAACCAGCGATCTTCCTTGCCTTATTGAAATACGATATAAAGTAGGTCTCAAAATGTACAAGAAGCTCTGCATTAAATGACATTCTTTCCCACCATGTCTTTAAAATATGAGCCTTCATTTTACCCCAATATTTTCAATGGAGTTTCTGCGCAGGCCTGCTGTTCCTGATGGCATGTGCTTTTCCTCTCGTTTTATGCTTGAACAACTACATGAACATGAACGCTGAAGTCTATTTAACTGATTATATTTTAATTACATTACAACATCAATGCTGTAAAAGGAATCGTATAAACCTTGAAAAGAAAACGTAACATTAACCGTTCACTGGAAGTTTATCGGTATGAAAAGAAACACTAGTTGTGCATATACCCTATTAGCTATGTGTTCAAGAGACTGAGCTGAAGTAGATTGTAAAGTCTAGGGTTAATCTGTTTATATGGAGTGTGCAGAGACTGACAGTAATGCATCCACAGAGACTCACTTGGGAACACACACCACTGTGTACAGCTGCACAAAACACTCACTCAATACAGGAAACTACTGAGGCAGCTGTAACACTTCACACGAAGATCTAATAAATCTCCAATGATAAACGAGGAACACATTCATAAATGCCTAATTCAGTAAAGACAAAAACATTGATTTTGGCAGAGGCCGCTTTTCATCCACGCCAAGCTATTTATATTGTCTTGCAACTATTCCGAGATTAAAACATGCTTAAATCAAATTCATTATGCCCATCCTGAACGCAGATAACCTTCATTTTCCACAGCTCTGTGAGATTAGTGTCAATCAGATCACCTGCCCTCACTCCTGTCAATCACATCATTAGCCAGCTATTTTTAACATTGGGTCAGACTGCAGCAATTGACCAAGTGAACGCAGTGCAGCTATGCACGTCTGTAAAACATCATCAGTCAGGCCAGCAGTGGAATTAATCAAGCTGAACGGCATTACAGTCGATTTATAAAGAGGGTGTGATTTATTTAAACAAAGAAGTGTTTACTTTAATAAAAGACTAATGTAGGAACATCAATCAAGCGAGAGACAAATAGAAAGTAAAAGGTTTTTGAATTCCCACTGAATCGATCTGCAGTGCAAGCGAATAGTGCCAAATCAGTGTTTTAAAACCTACATGTTATGGTCCAACTGTACATCACACTCTACACTACCTGACAAAAGTCTTGTCATTGATCTCAGTTGTAAGAGCAACAAATAATAAGTTGACATCTAGTTGATCATATGGAAAAGTGGCAGACGGTAGTTTTATTTATGAAACTCGTTCCCAATTATCACAAATGCTGCAGAAGACCTATTGGAACCCGCATAGACCCAATATTGTCACAGAAATCAGTCAAGTATGGTGAAGAAAAACTCTTGGTTTAGGATTACATTCGGTATGAGGGTGTGCAAGAGATCTGCAGAGTAGATTCCAACATCAACAGCCTGAGATATCAAGACATTTTTGCTGCCCATTACATTACAAAGCACAGGAGAGGGCAAATTATTCAGCAGGATAGCGCTCCTTCTCATACTTCAGCCTCTACATTAAAGTTCTTGAGAGCAAAGAAGGTCAAAGTGCTCCAGGATTGGCCAACCAAGTCACCAGACATAAACATTATTGAGAATGTCTAGGCATAAGACGAAGGAAGAGGCATTGAAGATGAATACAAAGAATCTTGATGAACTCTGGAGTCCTGCAAGAACACTATCTTTGCCATTCCAGATTACTTTATTAATAAGTTATTTGAGTCATTGCAGAGATGTATGGATGCAGTTGTCCAAGCTCATGGGAGTCATACACAATATTAATTCACATAATATTCACATAATATTAATTTTCCACTGCACCATGACTTCATATTCTATATTGAACATTATTTCTGTTAAGTGACAAGACTTTAGTCTAAGCAAAGTCAGACTTTACTGTCCTAATGAAATAATTAAAAGTCAAGGCATGATCAAATTTTATTTTGGTAAAATAAGTGTAATCTAGAGGCCTTTCATATAAGCAACTTCTGAAACCAAATGATCAACTAGAAGTCAAGTTATTATTTGTTGTTCCTAAAACTAAGCGACAAGACTTTTGTCAGGTAGTGTACATATGCTATCAAAACCTACATGATACGGTCCAACTCACAGTCAAAAGCACAAGGTGCAAATAAGCAATCATGACCACATGATGATGACTGAATAATAATGACCACAGCCACAAAGTTCATGTAATGAGACGGTGCCATGGCAAATCATTAGTGTTAGAAAAACAGCGAACAAGCAGCCATCTTTTGTCAATTTTGCAATGCCACGTGGAGGCCGTGTAATAAAACATCAAAGTAGTTTTTTACAGGTTTTCCATTAAATCTAATAGGCATCCTAGTTGGCTTTTATTGAGAGGACGTTGCTATCTGTTCTAACCCTAGCAGATGGACTATTATAAAACCGAGATTGACCATTCATTACTGTACACTCCATGTGGAGCACGACCGGATCAAAGGAAGAGAAACTGTCAGATTCCACAGTTTCATATCCGTGTAATTAGAACCAATCTTAGGCCAGTTTTCAAGATCTAAAGCACGTCGCTGTATAAAGCTTTCACAGAATTTGAGAACACTGAAATAAAAGATGTCAGATGTAGATATGATTGACAGACAATCTCTCTTCCATATGGGAAGCGTGATTTTCTATTCGACTGTGAGAGAATTCACCCCTTAAGCACTTCAAACAAACCCTCTCTTGTTGGGTGAAGCTATACTGAAGGAAGCGATCTGGAGAAAAAGATCAATATCTGCCTGCATGTGTAGATGCAAGCCCACACTGCTTGCGTATGAGAACAAGAAATCTTTTCATTGAGGAGAGGGGCATTGATGCTGGTTATCATAGCACTAACTCCAGCAGTGTAACGTTGCATGGGATTAGGGTCGGTAATGAGTCACACTCTGTGCAGGATTCGTGAGAATGTCCAAGTCATTAACAAGTCACTTAAATTTGCCAAGTGCACAGTTTTCTGTATCTGCTGGAGGGCCAAAGGCTAAGAATGTTTTGCTTATCCTTGGGGGGTTGAGACATTACACCAATAGCTGGCCTTGTAGTGGCAGGTCAGACTGCTCACAAAATAAATCAAATTTCAGTACAACATGTTGCAATTTTGTTACTTTATTGTTAAGATTTATCACGTAAAATGAAGTTGAAGTTTTATCAACCATGAACTTACATTTATGGAACAGAACAATGCCTTCTAAGTAGTTATTGATGATTTTTAGTTTGCAGTTAACTAGAATCAGAAATACACATTTTTATCTGAAAAATGTAAATCAAGATTTTAATATTTATTCCTGTGTTACTAATACTACAAATGTAACCAGTACACGGTGAAACCCAACAGTCAACTTTATCAAATGAAATAAGTGTAGTTAACTCAATTTACTGAAAGTTACTCGTTATTACTCATTTGAAATGAGTTTTGAACTCAGTGTTGAAGGTGATGAGTTAATTAAATACCTCATAACTTCAACTTAAATGGAGTAAGTTCACAGTACTCATGTAGATTAGTTTTCTTTTTCTTTTTTGCTCAAATTGTTTTTTGTGTACTCAAATGGAGTGATTTCACAGTACTCATTAGGATTAGTTTTTAAACTTAAATGGTTTGTTGCCATCAGTTTCCTCAAACGGTTTGAGTTACCATAACTTTTTGGGTTTTACAGTGTATATATTCCGAGCAGACTGAATTTGATGAACATTGTCATTCAGATATTAACAATTCAATTTAACTCAGTTTCTTTTTTCTTTTAAACTGGTATCTCACCATTGAGTTTTAGTATCCTACTTATAGTTCCTATATGTATAAGTAGCAACTCCAGCTACTTAAACACATGCACTTTTATCCCTATACTTTAATACTATTTATATGAGACTGTAAAATAAATCACAGTTACTGTGTTTAAAATTGCTTTTGTCTTTAATCGCTTAATGAAAATTCAGATTTCAGCAGATTTAAAATATATATTAATAAAATCACATTTAAACAATAAAACGCATTATAGTGTTTAAAAGTTAAGTATATTCATTCAGTAGTAGAATCTCTGAAATACATGCCAATGGCTGTCAGTAACTTAGAAATAAATACTATTAAGAAAAGTTGCATGATAAGTAGGTTGGTTAAAATTGCAATAGGCACCGGCTACAACCGGAATAGTCCGAATAGCTATCATGTCACATGTAGTGACCAGTAGCAGCAAGAACTCTGATATTAATTGCTACTGGAACATTAAGTACTGTATAATTACCAATAACTAGTAAACCTGCTATGAGAAATACGACCGTCTTATAATTGGTAAAGTATGTAAGAGTAGCCTTTGCTCGTTTCAAAACATGTACTTAGTACTGGTATTAAGAATAAAAACTAAAATTTCAATAATAAAAACGTCATGAAGTAGCATTAATAGCCTCAAAGGGAAACTTTTTAACCAAATGTAGTAGTGCAGAGAAAGAGTTGGGAGATGCGCTTTCATATTTACCTGAACAATCTGTCGCGGCTGCACCGAAAGCGTCGGGAAGTTTCCACGTCCGTGAACTGGAACCGTCTCTCCGAGAATAGAGTCCAAACGTTGCACCTGCTCCCAAGACAACACACAAAACCGCCGACACTGCTCTGTCGCATCACCGGAGGACATGGCGATGGAAAGAACAACCAGCTTTAAAAAAAAATCTCAAAAACTTCTGTTCGTCTTCCGCGCAGATGTCGCTCTCTTTCCAGCAGATGAACTTCCTACGCAGATCCGAAATGTGAAAAGCTGAGTTGTTACACAGTTGCTCTCTTTATCAGATATATAGCCTATAAATGGACGCGGTTCGTGAGGTCATCCAGTTGCGCTCCTGATTCACTATTTCCAATTCATGCACATCCAACTGAGAAGGTGAAATGATACAGTTATGCTGGAAACTACCATCTGAATGGGATTTATAGCTATGCGATTTGCATACTGGCGTCTTATTGGTTGAATGCTGAGGCTCATGAATAATTACACAGCATTCTTGGATCGGATTGGCGGAGGCGTGCCATTCTCATCCCAGTAAACACACAGCAGCGCTAAGACTGTGATCATAATGCCTCACATTTGAAGAGGAGCCAAAAACAAAAGAACATAATCATTAAAATATTTGGTGTTACTCTTGTCATCTGTATATGTTTGCCGTACATGTGGGGTGAACAAGAGAAGTCGTGTTTTGGTGTCAACATCAAATCAAACTCGCATATTAAATACACGCGTCTCCCGTTTCAAATATGTTCTATATAATATATTATGTTTACTAATTAAAACATGAATGAATGTCATCACACCAAGTTTTATTGCTGTTTTTGACTACTTAAAACGTATGTGTGTGTGTGTGTGTGTGTATGTATATATATATATATATATATATATATATATATATATATATATATATATATATATATATATATATATATATATATATATATATATAACCTTTATGTTTAGTCATTTAGCAGATATGCTTTTGTCCAAAGTGACTTTCCGTACAATTAAGAAATTCACCAGAAAGCAATACATACGAGAAGTGTTATTATTTAAAGTCACTTGTTTGTGCTCAGATAATTTTTATTTTGAGAGAGAGACTCTGTTGGAGCAGTACTGTGAGGAATGGGCACTGACGGTCAACCTGGACAAAACCAAAGTCATGGTGTTCCAGAAGAAGGCCAGATCTCAGGGACACAAATATCAATTCACATACAGAGGAGAAACTCTAGAGCATTGTAGCAGTTACTCATACCTGGGCATCCAGATTTCTGCCTCTGGGGGCTTCAATCTCGCTGTCAAGACCCTGAGCGAGAGGGCTCGCAGAGCATTCTATGCCATAAAATCACGCTTTGGCCAATTACAGTTACCAACTAAAACATGGATTAAATTATATCACGCTATTATCAAACCTATATTACTATATGGGAGTGAAATTTGGACACCAGTATTAAAATTAGAAAATTGGAATAAAAGTTTAATTGAACGAACACAATTAGAATTTGCTAAAAGCATATTACATATTCACAGAAACACGTCTAACATTGCCTGCAGGGCTGAACTGGGTTTATACCCGCTAAATTTGGAGATTCAGAAACGAGCTGTTCAGTTCTGGCTGCACCTGCATCAGTCGGACCCCCAGTCTGTCCAATATAAAGCCCTTCTGGCTAATGAAAAACCTACAGTGTCTCATCCTCTAAACACACTGGTATCTGAGCTACTGGAAAAAACACAAACCGAACCCGTCCCCAAACAAAACCTTCACAAACAAATTGACAAAACATTAAAATATAACTATGATGAAAAACTGAAAACTGAACTCAACCTCCAGACTAAACTTAAATGTTATTCGGCCCTAAATAGAACCACACAGTTGGCAAATTATTTATCATTAAAACAATTAAAAGAAAAGCACATTCTTTCTAAATATCGCCTCTGTGATCATGACCTAGAAATAGAAAAAGGCAGACATAAAAAATCCTGGACTCCTGAGGAAAAGAGAATATGTCAACAGTGTGACACAAACCAAATAGAGGATGAGACACACTTCCTTCTGTTTTGCCCCAAATACAGCACGACTAGAGAAATATTTTCCCCCCAATTTGAAACATTGATCAATTCATTTTTTAATTTAAATGACTCAGAAAAACTTTACCATATACTCGGAGAGGACGAATTGACATTTGAACTGGCTGCAAAATATGTATATACCCTACACACCATAAGAAATGGTTAATGTAAATTTGTGTCTTATTTAAATAATTTAAACTTTTTACTATTATTATTATTATATTTATCAAATGTATTGTTTTTTTTTTTTGTCATTATATCTTATTTGTATTACTATTAATTATTATTTTCAATGGTTTTAATATGTTTCATATTTGAAATGCTTTGGCAATACTGTATTTAATGTCATGCCAATAAAGCAACTTGAACTGAACTGAACTGAGAGAGAGAGAGAGAGAGAGAGAGAGAGAGAGAGAGAGAGAGAGAGAGAGAGAGAGAGAGAGAGAGAGAGAATACGAGACCAGCCAAAACCAGCTATGTCCAGCTTAAACCAGGCTAGTCAAGCTGGTCATTTTTAGCTTGACCAGCTAAGACCAGGCTGGAAATGACTGGAAACGGCTGGAAACAACCCTTCTAAAACCAGTCTGGTCGACCAGTCTAGGTTGGATTTTTCAGCAGGGGTATTTTATACTCTTGGTAAACTAAACTAAATCATATTCATCCAATTAAATATTGTCCGGCCGACATCTCCCATAACTGTCAGTCAACAAATGCAGATTTGGGCTTTGCGCATCTCTGTTCAGGTATATCCGCCAATAGCGTGTGCACCAATAATATCCATAAGCGCTGCGCATTCACGAGACGTGCACGAGAGTCACAGTCGCGGCAAAATCAAATGCTGAATTGGAACTTTTTAAACTCCTAAATAAATATTGGAGTTACTTTTGCAAGCATGTTGGAAAGATGACACCATGGCTTAAGTATTTCTCTTAGAAAGGTAAAGTTATTTTTTAAAACTATTTTAGCTGACATGAACTAGTGGGTTGTCTGCTGTCGTGCAGCAGTGTGCGCGTGTTCGTGATTTCAGGAGGCGTGGCTAATATGCTAACCGCTAATATGCTAACCGATAAGTATTTTGGCAGATCACCTATTGCACCTTTAATTTTATCCCAGGAATTTCTGTACTAGCCTGGCGCTAATGACAGCGCCTGCAACGGTCTTTCATCTCTTCTTACACTTTAACTACCAAATGGATGCTTAAGTCGATTTTACAGAATATATTTGAATCACATAACAACATCGATGCTGTAAAAAAACCTTATGAAATTAGTCACATAATGGTCACATAAAACTTTCACCAGAAGTTCATCATTGGCTCAGTAGCTGTGCATATAGCCCATTTAGCCAATGCAATTCTGTACAAAATTTAAAGAATTTCTCTCTACTCCACAATAATAAAGAAAATACCATAAACTCCGTAAGTAAAGAGGACACATCTTAACAAAGGATTGTTGTAAGAAACTAAATCTGATTCAAACATCTTTTTGAATACAGCTGGATACCTCAATTTCTACAGATGAAAATAAATATGCAACTACTGTTTGAACAAACAGCTCACTACTATACTGGAACAAGATAGTCAGTAATGCATAATATTAACAGTACATCTGTACGGAACCCTAAAGAAATCATCTGTCCACAATGGCTTTATTTAGCTACGCACAGAGTATGAAAAATCTGTTACGCACAACTCTGCAGCGTGGCATTTGTGGATGACTCACAGTTCGCAAGCTGTTGATCAGCCTTTGGGGCAACAGCAGCGGGGTGGGTTAGTCATGATAGATTAGTGTGTGTGTGATCAGAGAGCTGAACCGCATACCATTTCGACAGGGGAGGTCCTGAAGGCGTGTGATGTCAACCAGTTTCAGTTCCCCCGGCAACAGCATCCCCCGTCGCCAGGCAGCAGGGAAGAGGGAGCCCTCATCAGTGTGCTGAGCAGGTGGTGATATGAGACACCTGCGTCATACGCCTAAAAATAACTCGCCTTGAGGTAGCAGAGCATTGTTGCATCTGACAATCCATTGCTGGAGTGATTTAAACCGGGTTCACGCTACAGTTTTGCCCACTATTTGGTCTTTAGGAACAAATTTGGAAAAGACTATGGTAAAGTCTGTCGGTTAATGGCTGTTGTGATCAGATTTTTCCCTCCGACAAGATTTGAGAAACTTTCCTGCTGTTTAACTTAACTACGACCACCATCAAATCAAAACCAATAGCAGTTCTGATCATGATGACGCAATTACGACAACGTCACCTCCGAGAAAATGATGAAAACCATTCGTTCATGTCAATGATACTAAATTAACGTATTAATTATAGATGTTATAGATGGAAAAGGAGCATTTGTATGCTACTGAAAGGGTTATAAAATGGAGAGAGTTTGCTCTAGAAATTTCAGATACATTGCCTTGTTCATGAGTGCAGAGTACATGGGGGATCTGTTTCAAATTCTGATACATCATGTACGACTTTTTATTTCATTTTGATTAATGACCAGTCAACAGATACAACCACGTGAAAATTTAGGACACCCTATGAAAGCTTGAGTATTTGTTTTTTTTTATATTTTATTCTTAAAACTAAACTTTAACAATATTGAAAGATTAAGGTAATATAACTGAACAATTAAAACTTAAAAAAGTACATTTAATTCTACAAAAAAAAAAAAAAAAAAAAGTTAAGGGCACCCTCAAATTTATTAACACTTAAAATAGCTCAAATCACAGACAAGTGATCATCATCAAACATCAAGGCCAAACTGAAGTTTGCCAGAGAGAATATCCACAAAAACCAAGCTGTTAGCCGTTGAATGTGAGGTAAGTGAAGCCAGCAGTGATGCTTACCTTTCTGTCTATGTGGTCCTGGTGATGGGGAAACTATAGTAGGCAAAGAAGCCATCAGTGGGCAACCAGGTGAGATACAGGGCTCCAGAAATAATTTTGTTGCCCATTCGAAATATTAAAGTAGACACACAAAATTGCTCTCCAATATTGCCGTGGACTATTGCTTTACAAATTGCTCCATGTATCATAAGGTTACAAAGCATTGTCATTCAGGTGAGACATTAAACTGAGGAATCTCTGTGGTCATTAAAAATCCCATGGCCAAGTTGTAAAGAGTAGGAGTGTAACCCTCAGTGTCCCGACCAAATTCCCCTAATTAGCCCTTTACCATAGAACTGTGTTTCTCAACTACGTTTCTGGGGGACCACAAGCTCTGCACTTTTTCCATTGCTGCATCCCAACATGCATAATATCCATCCTAAATAGTATTTAAAAATAAAATGAGTATGTCCCAAATCGTAGTA